TTTTGCCTTCCTTTATACAAGTTCTGAAGCCAAGGACAACCAAAAGATAAAATACACCATGTTTTGGACCACCTGAGGGCAATACTGAACTAATCAAGTAGAAAGTCTCTTTATCCCATCTTGAAATACAATAAACTACCCCCAAGGCCAGTGACTGACCAGTTACTATCCCAGAATAACTGTTTTCCACATATTGTAAGTACTTGTGAAAAATGTGTCACATTCAGAAGCCCACTTCCCCTACAGAAGTGTATTCCAAATACCAACAGTTACTTCTCCCTGCCTTGGCTTGTAACATGTAGGAAATAAAGCCTTTTACAGATTTGTATTCTAGATCATTATTAAGAGGATTCAAGCCTTTTACAGATTTGTATTCTAGATCATTATTAAGAGGATTCAAGCCTTTTACAGATTTGTATTCTAGATCATTATTAAGAGGGTTTCCTAGCCAGAACAAGAGATACTGAAGGATTTCAAATGAGCCAGAAGCTTAAGACAACATATTCAGCAGAGCAATATCCAATAGAGTAGCATTCACCAGAACAGTGTCCAAAAGAGTCTATGAGAAAGTAGCAAGAAGTAGGCCCAGGAGAGTTAAGACAGGACACCACCAGAAGACACCAATTTCCCTTTACAGATGCATTTTGGTCTTATATCTTCTCTATACATGTGTCTCTTCCACAGGCATGCTGACATGCATGTTTTTCTGCCTGCCTGGCTTTCCCTACGTATGCTCTCACCACACATACTCCCTAAATATATGCCCCTGGACACTTGTATGGCCTAGATGTGTAACTTTCCATGAGTCCCAGTGGGTCCTCTTCTCATAGATGTTATGCACAACTGTGGGAGAACCCGCCACGGGATCCAGAGGGACCTGTTTGTTGCTATTTTTTCTTATTATGTCATTTCATTCAATGCTCTCATTTTGAACTGATTCCATCATCTCACTATTAATAGCGAGCACATTGTTAGGGGCTTATAGTTATGGTATTACGGAATGTGAATGCACAGAGTACCTTGAATCTGAGTAGCTGTCCATGGGGGATCCACTGTGTACATTGAAGGGGGCTCCTAGGTGCCACTTAGGGAACCAGACAAAAATGAGGAAGGTAGAACAGTTTTAGGTATGGTAGAAAAAAGACTAGGCTGAGAATCTAAAGACTATGGCTGTTGTCCTAACTTTGCCATTAACTTATTAGGTAACCTTGGAGAAGCCACTTAACTTCTTTAGGCTTCAGATTCTTCATCTATAAAATGAGAGGATTTAGCTAGATAACCTCTAAAATCTCTTCTCACTTTGAGTTTTTAGGATTCTCTTAGTCTCAAAAGCCTAATAGTTACCAAGAAATCATAAGATCATAGATACAGTCCTGGAAGGGACCCCAAAACCCAGCGAGCCCATCTCCCATCTAGTTTTACACAGATGAAAAGTGAGGCAAGAAAGGTTATGTGATTCACCCAGGATCACACAGCTTCTAGCTCCAAGTCCAATGCCCTATCCTCATTGCCATGTTGCTTCTCATAGCCTAGGCTTCATGGGATTCTGCTTGTTAGTTGCTGGTCATCATCTGGTATCTTCACTAGCCCATCTCTGGGTTGTGCTCATTAGCTCCCCTTTACCTTTATTTATTTTCTGTTAGTTTTGTTTTGTTTTGTTTTTGGCAAGGCAATTGGGGTTAAGTGACTTGCTCATGGTCACACAGCTAGTACTTGTCAAGTGTCTGGTCTGAGACAGGATTTGAACTCAAGCCATCCTGACTCCAGGGCCAGTGCTCTACTCACTGCACTACCTCCCTTTCCCTTTGTTAAGGAAGTTCTATCATTAGCTCATGCCACTCCTTCCATAATCTTCTCTCTTGTCCCAACAAACAATGAACGAAAATTGGTACAGATTCCTTTGGTCCAAAACACTCAAGATAATTCATTTACATTTCCAAGGTAACTCCCAGTCTGGTTGCCACCAACTCTAGCTTCACAAATAAAAATCTTATGTCATTTCCTGACAGCCCCTACTGCTATGGGAATTGCTTCAGCCAAATCAGAATATATTTTTGCATGGAAAAAAGTAATAAATGGTGGTTTGGTACAGACTGAACTAGTATGATTAGTGCTGTACTTGAGGAACATTAAGGGTTTAAGAGGCTTTTGTGGGCTAGTCTGGGAGCTTAAACATAATTTACACCATCTTTTATGAAGGGAAATTAGTTCTGAGTGCTCAAAAACTGCCTTAAGAATAAATTTACCATTTCTATAGTGCTTGAAGGTTTGCAAAGCACTTCCCAAATATTATCTCATTTTATCCTCACAACAGCTCTAGGAGGGAGGTACTATTATCATTTTCATCTACAAATAGGGAAACTGAAGCCAATAGAAGTTAAATGACTTGCCCAGGATCTCACAGACTATTAATGTCCAAAGCTGAATTTGAACTCAGATCTTCCTGACTCCAGGTCCAGCATCCCCTCCACTGCACCACCTAGCCGCCTCCTTAGAATACATTCATAAATGGGATCTGCCTACAACCCATGCTTAAATCCTCTATCCTGATTTCAAATTGTTGGCATACAAAATAACCTTAATGAACATGGGAACAATTGGGGAGGTTTTCTGGAGGTGGTAATTTTGACATGCTAAATTAGCTCTTTCAACAACTTGTAAACCAAGACTCCCCAGGGCCCTCTTAAGACAAGAAAGCTTATAATTTCCCACCTTATGACCACTCAGCTCCCTGACACAAAGTGTCTGTTCAGGAGGTCAACTCTAGAATGTACACCATACATCTTCATGCACGAGATATGCTAATTTATCACCCAGACACAGAGGCTTACTGTAAACTAATCCAAACTGCTGATGATGCACTAAATCAGGTTGAGGGATGAGCATAAATACAGTGGCAAGTGAAGTTCAGAAGGATACAGATCTGCCTGATCAATGAGATGTCAGGGAGCAAATGAAATGGAATGTTGACAAACACATGGCGCCACAAGCCAAGTTCAAAATTAACCAATTCATGTACTGCAAGACAAATGCAAATGTGCATCCAGGCTCCAAAGAGACGTGGGCTACAAAGAAGCCAAGGACAAAACGTCAGCTATTTTAGATAAATCATGACTTCACTGATTTGCTGGAAAAAGAAATGTCTATTGACAACATGAATTGCATGGAAAGGAGCTATATGATAAAAACATGATCTGGAGCAATAAACATTTTGCGAAGAAAATTGTTTTATCTGCTCAATCTACTGAGAGATCTATAAACACCAATGTGGGCAAAGAACAGAAATCTTATGTAGCAGATAATTCGAGATTATTGGGAGAAGGACCTTCACCTGTGATTTCACTCATTTAGGGAATGCATGAGTGAGAAAATCTCCTCCACTCATGGCCAATGAACCCTTTCCTGCAATTTATAATTTTAGTGACTTGCCCAGGCTTACATATCCAGTATGCGTCACAGAGACAGGACTTGATCAAGTTTTCCTGACTTTGTGCCCAGTTCTCTATCTACTATACCACACTACCTCTCTAGATAAATCAATCGCTAGTAAATAAAATCCCATTTTTGTGGCCCTGAGCAAAGCCCAGATCATTTCTGGAACCACTATACTCTGAGCTCCACAGAGAAATAGTGATTACAGGACTTTGGGAGAGAGGGAGGACTTGTATTTCTAGATCAGACCTGTATTTCCCAGCGATTTGGTAAATTTCAAGGATTCTGATCACAAATTTCCTCTACACCCTCCACATAGACAATTTCTTTTTTTTAAATATATTTTATTTCACATATACAATTTCTTGAGGGAGAAATCTGTAAGAAAGTGATTTCCCCAATAAACTTGTGAACATTGTAGTCTGTTCACCATAGAGTTAGGGAAGAAATCAGCAAAAACTCATCCTACTGATTGATAAATCACAATATTCTATATAAGAAGAATTGATTAGATCCCACTGGAATACATATTCCAGCTCTTGTTAGTACCAGGCTTCAAAGGTATCTGGGGAGCTGGCAGCAAAGGAGGTAGGAAGTAACTGCTCCTTACAAGGTATTTCCCCCTCCCTTTTGTTCTCTATATATCTATAGTTGACATAACATATTTAACTTTTACTTTATATTTTACCTCTCAGTAAGTTTTGGTTAAAGGTAGAATTATAGTGGTAAAATATGACCTGATCCCAGATGTAGTTTATTTAAATTTCAAAATGAAAAGCTGACGAAGAGCAGATAAGATTGATTGCTCTCTCTGTCTTAGCATAATTGTATTTCAGGTGAACATCAATTTACTTTAAAGGACACTTCTAAGTAGCAGAATGCATCATAAATAATTCATCAATCACGGCTGCTGGTAACCTGATTTACTCTAACAGATTCCAACAGAATAAAGGGTTGTATTGTTTTCAATATTTGTGTTTGTTTTCAAACAGTTTAAGAGACTGGCTTTACCATGAATCACTGCCTAGAAGACTTCATGCTCCATATTCAGCCTGGAAAAATGTATTTCTAGTTATACAGGCTTATTAATTAGAAAAAATAGTTTTTGAGATATTTTCAGAACCAAGAAGCAAAGGGGTGGAATGTGATGAGCTTTTCTCACATATGTCATTCTAGCAAGGTTAATATTATTCATTTCTATCTCCATATCAACTTTTAAACATAATTGAAGTGAAGCACATTTTTCTTCAGCAAATACAATCCAGGTTATTCTAGTTCGTGAACACTTGAAAATTACTTCAGCTTGGCAGGGCACATTAAATGGAGGCAAAATCATACACTTGTTCAAGTTCAGTCAGTTGACACGGTTTGAATTGTATCTACAACTTCATCTATCATACTGAAAGACACTGCTTACCTTTACAAGTCTTTGTGTTTTCAATCAAATTCAGCAACCCTGTATTGGTGATTTCCTAAATCTTGAGATATGCTTTGAGAAGAATATACTGACAAGAAGAAAAGAGAGAGAGACAGACAGACAGACAGAGAATAGAAAACAGACTACTTACTTGTAAACCCCTCTGAAACACTGAGTGGCCCATAAAATTAGCCAACATTCGAATTAAAGCTGCACCCTGTAGGAAATAAGATGGAGAGATTGTGTTTCAACAGGGATAAAAAAGCATATACACACACACACACACACACACACAATGTAATAATTAAAAGTATTTTATTTAATCTCACTTCTCTCAAGTGAATTTCAGAAACAACAGAATGGTCAAATGAATACCACAAGCCTACAGGGTTCCATAATTTCATAAGTATCAGTAGACCCTGTATCTAGCCACACAACCTTCTCTGTAAACTCTGAAGATGGTCTTCCAAATAAAATTTTTTAAAAATGCTATCCTGCAACCTACCTGGTAACAAGCTTGTCTGGTTTTCAGATGACAGAAGTTGTTAATCATGGGATCTATATTCAACACCTTTCCAGGCTGGCAAAATTTAGACTCTCCTGGTATAGCCTTAAAGAGACCAGGATAACTCACCAGCACGTGAGGATGAGACATGATGTGTAGAAATATCTCCCTATGGTATTGCTATTTGTTACTAACAGTTTTCTTTTTCATGTAACAACAACGGCTTAAAAGTAAAGCAACATATGACAAGAGAACAGTAGTTTTGTGGGTGTGGTGTCTTGGGCTTAGAGCTTTAGAAACCATATCTAGAATCTGCTTGCCTACAATAATTTTTGCAAAATGCAAGATTCCCCAGTTCTGTCTACATCCAAAGCCATGTTGGATTTGGATTTGGATTATAACCTCTCAATTTTCTTTAGAATTTGAATAGAAAGTGCTGGCATTCATTGGTCAAGGAAAAGGATTTGTTCATCAGGGAGTTCCCTGAACCAATGGAATAACATGTCCAGTCCCTATCCTATAACAATAAGTGTCACTAGAGTGAATAGAAAGCCAGGCTTGTGGCCCTGGCCAAGTCACAATCTTTTAGTGCCCTGAGCAACTCTATAGGTAGACTACAAGTAGCAGATGATTATATAATGTTGGATCAAAAGCTTGGAGAGTCCTTGAAGCAATCTGGCCCAACCTTCTTTTTATAGATAACCTCTGTGGCCCTGGGCAAGTCACTCTCAGTGCCAACAACTCTTTAACATCAGAAGTTGCAGATGACTATAAGATCCTGGGTCAAGAGATGGAAAGGATCTCAGAGGACATTTAATACAATGCCCTCATTTTAAGATGAGGAAACTGAGGCACACACAAGTTAAATGACTTAACTATGTTCACATGGGTATTAAGCATCAATGGAAAGATTTGAACTTGGGTGTTCTGGCTTGCTCAGCCTTTCCATTGTACATGCTCCATGGAGGGAGTTTCTACCTAGAAAGTTCCTAATGCCATTGAAAATGAAATAATAGATCTAGACTAAAATAAATAACAAATGAACAATTGCAGCAATAATAAAACAATAAAAATGTATAATATGTCATGGTATCATGACAGCTAACAGAATGAGAAGCAGTGAAGCTCTAAGCTAATTGTCTGGGCTTTATTCTCCATTGCTCAATTTGGCCATAGGGTGCTCCTAATTAGGCCCTGAACCTATACTAAGTCCTATGGATATATTCAATTGTCATATTCACTGAATGAGGGGGCTCATTAAAGGCATTAGTATTAGATTAATTAGATTAATAATTACTTTACCTTATTAATATCTAATAAAGTATTAGATTAATACTTTACCTTACTTCATTTCTTTTACCAAATGCTTTCCTCCCCAAAATATTGTGCAGTCCTATTATCATTATCCACATTTTAGAGGAAGAAACTAAACTTCAAAGAGGCTGAGACTTGTCTAAGCTCACTCTGCAAGTAAATGGTAGAGCCTAGAAGCCCCTAACTCCTGGTACAATAATGGGCTGACATATTTTGAGCTGGAAAGGTCCTTAGGGGCCATAGAGTATATAGCCCTCTGGTCTTATTTTATTATTTTATAATACTAGAAATGGGATTTTTAAGCCATTTTAAAGATATAATACTAATGATGGTGATGACAATGATGGTGTTGCAGGCAACATTTACAAGACACTTTACAGTTTTCAATTAGTTCCATACACACTGTCTCATTTGATCCTCTCGCCACCCCTATGACCCTAATCAGGTGAGGAAAATGAAGACCTGAGGATAGCTGCATATAGGGCATATACATAGCAGGCAGAAGAACTGGCATTGGTAGCATTGGTAGTGGATAAAGCACCAGGCCTGGAGTCAGGAAGACCTGAGTTAAAATCTGACCTCCAACATGTACTGGCTGCATGACCCTGGGTGAGTTACTTAACCTCTGCCTACCTCAGTTTACTCAGCTTTTGTAAAATCACTTTCAACAATTATAAATGCTCAAATTAATTATAAATGACCTATGAAGGAAGATACTATCCCCTGATAAAAAGAAATAAGTATAGGATTATTTTACATATAATACATATTTGTGTCAAATAGTAGCCATCTCTAGGGCAGGGGTGGGGAAAGAAGAAAAAAAGTGGGAAAAGTTTCATGATAACTTTATTATATATTTAAAGGAATAGTAAGTTGTACATATTAGATTTGCAGTTTCATTGTAATCATCTTTTTAAAAATTCTACTATGTTATGAAAATGCTTGTTATTTCATAAATTAAACATAAAGTTTAAAGAACAAAGCACTTAGCATAGTGCCTGGAACATAGAAGGGCCTATATGAATGCTTATGCACTTGTTCCTGAAGTTGTCTGAATCCAACCCCAGAATTTTTCTGTTCCCACACAGCACTGCCTCAGCCCTTACACTATTTCATCTCTCTATAAAATAGACATTATGGCTGGTGATAGGGGAAAAGGTAATTTTTAAAAAATTCTACCCAGCCATGGGAACTATCACTGGACTATAGGAAAATTCCATAGATGAAACACATATACATTCACAACTTAATATTCAAAGGAATAGGAATTTATAGGCCCATGTTACCTCCCCATCCTACCCACCTCCAATCACAAATAATTAACTGCAAATGCAAATAAGGTTGTTAGGATAAAATGAGAAAATAGATTTGAAAGCACTTTGGATTTCTAAAATGCTCCCCAAAATGAGACTGAAAATATGAGATTCACAGATGAGAAGCCCTCAAATAAACGTCATCACAAGGAAAGTCTCTATGTCAGCAATAATTTCCATATCATGGAGAAACAATGCTTCACTGATCCAGGTTCACTGAATTCTGTGGAACAAATCTTCAGTTGAAACAAATGCTTTATCTGATTTTTATTTAAGTAATAATTCATGTTACAGACAGGGAGGAGAAATCTGGGCTTTATTCTTTTCAATCTTTTAGTAATTACTTTTCAACTTCCTTTTCTCCTCACTTCATTCTACCCAAATATCTGACCCATTAAATCTTATGCTCCTCGAGGGCAAAAACTGTCTTTTGCTTCTTCTTTTTTTATATCTCAAATGCTTAGCAGGTGCCTGGCACACAGTAGGTGCTTAAATAAGGCTGGTTGATTGACTAATTGAACCAGAAAATCACAGAATCTCAGAGTTGGAAAGAATTGAAGAGACCATCTAGACCAACTCATATGCCACCAGGAATCACTGCTTTAACATTCCCAACAAACATGATCATCTACGTCTTTGTTTGAAGACTTCCAGGAAGGTGAAACCCACTGCCTCCAGAGGAAGCCCTTGATCCTTTGGAGTTGGCTCTCATCTTAGAGGATGTTTTGTTATGAAACAAGTCTAAATTTGCCCACAATCATCCATCATAACACGAACAAGCAAAAAGATGTAGGATCTAGAAGGAAACAAAGGGCCAATAGGGTCAAGCTGGAGGATGACAGTGCGTTTCTGCTGGACCATGTTTTATGACAAGTAAACATAAGTAAAAATCCCCATTTCCCCAATCTCCTAAAACAGTAGCATCTAAACTCTTTCAATCATGTCTCTATCAGTTTTTTTAAATGGTCATGTACTCCAATATATGTATATTTACTTACTTAAAAACTGCAATAATGGTGCTAATAACTTTGAACATTGTAAAATTACATTACACAAAAACAGGATAAGAAAAAGGTGAAATAACAGTTGAACCTATAGTAAAAAGAAAACCATTGAAATTTATTGAGTAAGGGAGTTGCATGGTCCTACCCGCGATTTAGGCAAGTCACTATGACAACTCCCTCCCCAAATACCTTGGATTTGCCTGGATTCTGTTTAGATTTATTGTCTATATAATTATATATGCACTTTGTTTCCCCTTTCAGAATGTAACCTCTTTGAGAGTAGGGGTTGTTTCATTCACTGCATTTCTCTCCTCAAAGTCTAGCACAATGTCTAGCACGCAGTAGTCACTTCAAAATATTTGTTTGATTTCTTGATAACTTGGAGGAGGGGGGTGGAATGCCCCCAGTGCAGAAGCAGGCAGTTAAGGAACTTACAGTGCTAGTGCTGAAAACAAGCTCCATGACTGGCTATCACTGGGAGGGTGGGATGGAACCCACCTTCCTAAGCTTGAATGGATCCCATACTCCTTGAGGTGAGACAACAGCCCCCTTGAAATCAAACCCTGCCCTTAGTTTGAAGAACAGTTCCCTGGAGTACAAATATATTACCAAAAAACTAGTCTGGTTTCCTCCTATCCCTTCTGCCTTTTCTTCAACATACCTTGCAAGTGTTTTTGTGATATCTTCTCCCAGATATTTTCTCCATCACATCTGCCTTTTCTAACTAGATTTCACCTATAAATTTGGGGAAAGGCCTACAAGGATCACCCTGGTGGTGGCAAATCCCTTTCTCTTTCCTCTACAGATAGAGCTGCTCTATTCATTTCTAGGTCTTAAAGTACTGGAATGTAATTTCTAGCACTGTTTTATTCAATTATTGAATTCAGAATTCCATTTTGACAAAGCAGTTTGAACTGTCCCTGGAGCAGCTCTTTAAGCGAATTCCTTGAAGTGTGAGTGTTAGGCAAGGTAGTATCTAATGAAAGATTATTTTCATAAGTCTAGGTTTCGAGGATTTTTCATGGTGGTAACTTAGTCCATTGTGAATGTGTCTTACAACCATAAGGAAAACCAAAGCAAT